GGCCTTTACAGCCCGACCTTGCAGGCGGGTACACAGATGAGCTGATTGCTTTGAAATCAGCCGGAGTACGCGCTGGCCGGCTAATGCCCCTGCTGCGGATCATGAGGAAAGCTGTGCTTTTCCTCCCTTATGGCTGTGGTGGCTCCATGGGATTAAGAGGAGTGAAAAGTAAGAAAACCTTATTTTTATCTGATGGTTTTGATGACACTACTGAGTTCACGCAGGGGCCAGTGAAGTATTTTTAAGTGGTGACATTCCTCGGAGCAGATTTCTAGCTCCAAAGGTCCCCCAGCAATGCCGTGTTCCCTCTCCCCGCTAAAAAGGGGTACGTGCCTTCATGCTTCATATTTCTAAAGGCCACCGCCAATTAGCTTTTTAAACTCTAGTGTCAATACTCAGCGAAGGGCGATGTTCTTTCGCCTTCAGATAACTTCATGAAAGAATGCTGCCCTGGTACAGGAGTCAGTTCTGGAGACCGGGATTATAATATATGAGAAAAATATATTTTGGGCAGCCTAAGTATGTAGGTATCTGTTCACCCCTGGTTAAGGAGGCACACGAAGTTAGCAAACATACGAGTGTGTGCTACCATAATACTCTTTTCATCTGCATTGATGTTTATCTCAAGTTTCATTGGTTCCAGATATACACACATTTTCAGTTTTAGTGCTGGTTTCAGGTTTACTATGGCTATGTTAAAGTCACAAAGCTGTATGGTGTCACACTGACCTTTAACTGCTGCTCGTATTTAATATTTGCTGTAATATTTTATTTCATTTGTGATTCCTATTCCCTGCGTTGCTTTAAAAATAGCTAGATTTGCATTTGCTTTTGCTAGCATATATTTAAAACCTCACTCTTGTTACTATTAATATCTAGCTTTACACACCAGCATCACGCAAGTCCAAATGTGCCACTGTCCCTATGAAGAATCCTTCATTTTCCTTTGGTCATTAAAAGGCTGCAGATCAGTTACTGATAGAAGCCCATTTGCTTGCTTGCTTTTTTAAAAAAAGCAAAAAGGCATCTAACAAATTCACATAATATTCAGATATGCTTTTTCTTAGAATGAAGAAACTGCTTACGCATTTTGATTTATAAATCTGGTTTTCTCGTATTGCCCTTTCCAAAATGGCAGTACTGCTAATCCAGGCCCCTACAGGGTAATGCAATCTTTTCTGAAGTCTGCCAAGTGCCAAGTGGTGACAAAGCAAAATGAAGACCTGAGCAATTGCAAATATTGAGAAAGAGCTGTCTAACTGAATTTCATTATTTTGATAGAGCCATAACTTTTCAAGATGCTCATTCAAATGGTGAGTTATAGAATCATAGAATCATAGAATCATTAAGGTTGGAAAAGACCTCTAAGATCATCAAGTCCAACCGTTCCCCCCAGGAACAGACAAACTAAACACCCCACAGTTTAAAACTGCATATCGAAGCATTTTGTACAAACAGCATATTGGAGCATTTTGTACAAACAGCACTGCGGGTCAAGAGGTAGAGCATGGAGAGAGGAAAAAAGATACTCCGTGGAGGCTCAGGTGTGGACACAGACATCACTCTCTGGGGGCCAGGTCTGACTGCAGTGCTCTTGAGGCGAGGCTTAGGATGCGAGTGACGTGCACAACTCACCTTTAGCCAGTGGCTTGGCTGTGCAGCTCCCTCCCCCTGCCCCCCGTGGCAGAAATGGGGGGTGTCTTATTCACCGAAACAGCAGGAGCTGCGGCACACAGACACCAGCTGAAGGGCAAAGATGGACTTGGGTACTTCGATGCACATAGCTGAAAGTTTGAGTTGAAAACCAAGGTCTTCACACTGTTGCTTGTGAAGAGAGGACAAAAATATTTCGTTGACCTCAGAAGATGTGAGTAAATCTCATTAGTTTTATTAGGTCGTATAAAGATATGAGACTTATAGTTTGGACTCTGGAAAATGTGCAGCAGCAGTAATACTTTGACCCCAGCACATATGCCAGCATGGCGTGAAGTGTACATTAGGGGCTGATCCTGCAACCTCTGCGTGTAATGGACTTTGGTGGGCGCAATACTTCTTTCATTGGTGTAATTTGACTTCAAGGAAATCACTGCTGACTTACTCTTGGGCATAACTGAGGTGAGGCTCAGGCCTCCTGTTTTTAAGACATTTGAAGAATATACCAAGTATGCGTTATAGGTGTGTATATAGGTGTCTATATATATATGCACGTGGAAATATATGTACACCATTTCCCTACGTCATGGCTACATCCTTAGTTCTATAATTGGCACTGCTACACTGGTATCCAAAGAGATACCGTGATTTAACTCAGCAGAGGATCTGGCCTCTGATATTCTAGTGTCTAAGAGAGGCCTTTTTAAAAATAACTTTATTTCAAGGAACAAATACATTTCCTGTGTCCCAAGACCATAAGAAGAGGACAATTGCTCTTCTCCAGATTTCAGACCCACATCAACTCCTTCCCATGAGTGAAGTGTGAACATTGCATTTCCAAAGCAGGATCCATACCTCTGGTCTCTCTCTAGCCAGAGTTGGTTTTGCACATGGATAGCATCCTTTTTTTTTTCAAAAAAGCACAGAAAGCCTGGCAAGGTCCTTGTTTACCAAATGCAGCAAAAGGATCAGCTGGAGTCCTCTGCCTCAGTCCCTTGAATTCAGGAGCATGTCACAGCCTGCGCTGGGGAAGCAGCATAAATAACAACAAACTGGGGAGAAGCAGTAGCAGTCCTCAGGGTTTCCTACTAATCTCCTCCCTCCCTCCCTCGTGCATGCATACACAACACACGAAGAGCTCCGGGGGGAATTCGACAAGGTGCAGAGAGATGAGTGCGAGTGAGGGGCGTTGGCATGGACCCGTTGTTTCCCACTGCTAGGCGACATTTGACATCGATGGTGCTCGGCTTCTCTTTTACCACAAGGCAATGAAGGAGGCATTTATACCGCCCAAGGCAAAGGCTGTTCTCACCTTAGGATCCCTTACTAATACAGAGGGGCTGTTGGCAGAAATGGCCTGTTAGGAGCAGCTAAACACAGCCTGGGGCAGCATTGGTTCAGTCAGGGTGTTTGAAGCTCGCAGTCTTGTTAAAGCAACCTCTGGAAGTGGAGCGAAAGAGCATGGTGATGGCTCATGGGTGTGCCTGCTTTATAAGCAGGAGCAGATCCTCCCTCCCTGCAGAGCCAGGGAGGCTTCATATGCTGGGGGAGAGGGTGCCCCCTCGCAGGCTGTGACACCCAAGGGGTGCCGAGGATCGTGGGGGGTGACCTACTACCCCACTGTCACCTGAGGGACAAGGAGGTCCTTTAGCGAGCCCTGTGGCCTAGAGGCTTAGTGCGAGATGGCCTGGGATTTACTCATGAAGGAAACAGGGAAGTGCGTGGGCTTATCAGGGGAGGTGGTGAAGCGAATATGAGAAAGGGGGAAAATACAGGTGAAAAAGGAGGGCTTGGTTTGCCCTGCTCCCAGATCTAGCCAAGCAGGTACTCTTCACTGAGCTGGGATGAGAATGGCTGGCTTATCTCCTCTTTTCAGTCTCTAACCTCTGCCACTGCAATGGTGTGATACATGGGCTGGGGCTGCTGAAAGAAAGAGAATTTATTTGGTATGATACAATATAGCAGGAACTGACATTGCACCTGAGTCTCTGTAACAAAGTAGCATCACTTTTTGGGATGGCACTGATAAATCCCATGTACTTCTGCTTCCAGGAAGACTGTTAAAAAGCATCTGCCTCTGGGTTTGCTCACAGAGTTGATACAAGACAGTGGAGACAGTGATCAGGATCTGGCCCCTGGCAGCAACAGACCCAAATGCCCTTTCGTTCAGACAGAGGAGGAGTGGCAGCAACTCCTGCTTCTGCCAGGGCTGAAGGTGGGCTCCCCGGCTCAGAAGTGCGGCTGTGTGGGCTCAGTATTCAAAAATGAAAGCTGAGGTGATTGATAAAATGGGGTAGAAACCACCAGTTACCTTAGTTCTTAATAATTAACTGGAAGTCCTTCGATGAACTTAGTACCTGAGTGTGGAATTTGGAATCTGACCTTTACTATATCTAGATAAACAGTGTGGCTGACACGGAGGCTCTCTCCGCAAGCGCCCCTCCACTCTCAGCAGCTCACTCTTGGAGGCTCTCACACTTCATGCTGCGGTCAGGAGCTTGGGGGAGTCCAGCATGATTCTTCTTACTGTCCTGTTCCTTTGCATCATTTCCACCTACTCAGCCTCTGTTAAAGGTAGGTCTGTACCTGGCTTAGTTCGGCTTTTGGCTCAGCAAAGGCATAACCAGTGTGTATATGCAGATCTGTTTTGCATCAGAAACGGTCATCTTTACTCGTGCGTCCTTAAGTAATGCAAAATGCATTTAGTAATTACAAAGGCTTAAGTGCTTGTAGCATTCATGTCAGCAGGGGAGATGGAGGAGACAATATTTTCAGGTGCACAGGGCCAGCGGTGTGAGCCAGGAGACTGGGGATCTTGACCTTGCTTAGTCAGGACATGCTGTGGGGGCACTGACTTGAAAGGTACTATTCACATGCTCAGAAGTTAAACACACAGAAGTGCTCTTGTGGAGCAGAGCCAGGAAGTGCTCAGGGCTCTCCAGGTTTCAGCTTCCGAGCTGTTGACTCAGCTACCACTGAAGTCGGTAACAAGCATCCCCTTAATTTCATGGGGAGCTTGCTCTGCAGTAAGTCATGAAAACCTGGATGTCTGCACAAGCGCTGGGAGCTGGGCTTTACTCAGGTGTCCTGACAAAGGTCAAGGGTTTGAAATCTGGAAACTGTCCACTTCAGCAGTGCCAGTGTATGAAGCAAGGAAAGGTGTCTTTAGTAGTGGCCCTTCAAATACAACCTGACATTAAATTTAGAGGAGCAGCAACCTTAAAACATAAGCCAACACCTAGTCTTTAGTTTAATGAGGATGTCCTCATCACGGTGAGGAGCAGGGGGGGCATGGCATCCTAGGTTAAACTGTTAAAAAGGCTGTAGAGGTGCTCTCACGGGTGCTGCCTCCTGCTCCCTGCAGGGGATCCAGGACACTGTATCTGTGTAAGCACAGAGCAGCAACCTTCCTCCCTACCTCTGTACCCTCTTGTGACAGGAGTTATAAAGCAGAGAAGTTTGCAGGCAGTTCCTCTACCCATGAGTGTATTTCACGAGACTGCTAAGTAACGTTTACGGCTAGATACGACATGCCACATTTCTGGTGTCTGCTCTTCCCAGCTTCTCCTTAATATCAATTAAGCAAAGCTCCTTCTTGATGTGAAGTAACATTTGCTTGTCACTTTACATCCCCAGGGTACTGAGCAAGCATTTTCTCGTTAATTAGTCCTCCCTTCAGCTCTGCCAGGACTCATGTCTCTCTTGTGCAGAGAGATTGAGAGCTAAATTACTGGCCCAAAGGCCACTTAGTGCCTCAGTGAGAGAGCTGGGATTAGGATGAGTATTTTAACTTTCTACCAGGCCATGCTGCCTTTCGGAAATATTGAAGGAATATTCTTTTAAGTCAGCTAGATCAGCACATGTGAAAGTTTCCTACTGCAATTCCACTTGCAAAATGTTTTCAAAAAAGCGGATGGGTTTTGCTTTTTAAAGCTATCCGGTATCAGAAACAGTGGCAAATATAATTTATGAAGGTAGAGTCAGCAAGTAGTTAGAGACACACATGCTGTGCATGCCATATGTATTAATAAAAGGCACAGGACTTGACAGCTGTCTCTACTCATGCAGTGTAACCTTCTGTATTATACAGTATCATGATTTAATTATAGACTTGGCATGTTACCCTTAATGACAGACACTTAACATTACTAGTCAAACTATGTGTTATGCACTCCACCTTGAAAGCAGGCACTTCTGACCCCAAGAGAGCAAGGCCGATGGCAGGCTTTATGTCCATCTCTCCTCCCTTCTCAGTCAGTGGGACATTTGCCATCAGCTGAAATGGCTATACAGGCAGCAAGGATGCCAGTGCTGTGCTGAATACAAAGGAAAGAGCTTCTAAAGACAGGGGTTTTTTTTAAGAAAAGTTTCTAACATAAAGTTGTGGGAATATTCCTTTTTAAATAGTACCAGTGTTTTCTTCATGAGAGATGGCATGAAAATTTAGTTATGCTGTTTTGAATACTGGTTCTGGGCAGTGACACTGTGTCTCTGTCCCTCGGCCACCAATATCCCTCTTGCCTCTCAAACTGCCCACACTATCCAAATGTCTCTCTTGGCTTCCCCATTTCTACCGGGTAAGTGCTAACTCCTTGGGACTGCCTTAAATGCTGCCTCATCCCTGCTGCTTCTCTTACCGTGATCCACCGCTCTTTCACCCTTTTCATAGAATCATAGAATCATAGAATCATAGAATCATTAAGGTTGGAAAAGACCTCTAAGATCATCGAGTCCAACCGTCAACCCAACACCACCATGCCCACTAAACCATGTCCCTAAGCACCTCATCTACACGTCTTTTAAATACTTCCAGAGATGGGGACTCCACCACTTCCCTGGGCAGCCTGTTCCAAGGCCTGACCACTCTTTCAGTAAAGAAATTTTTCCTAATGTCCTAATGTTTCCATCAGTGACACCAGTCTTGCAACTAAAGGCATCTTCTGCCCTGGCTTCTGCAGTGTTTTCACGTATGAAATGGTGAAAGCTTTCAGAACCTAGTATTCTTCTAACTCCCAGAAATACTTTGCAATTATTCATCTCTTCCATGACACTTGCAAGAAGCTGCTGCGTCACTTGCTCGTCTGTTTCCTTCAGGAGGGAACAGCTCTTTTGTATGTGGGGACAAGTGCTAAAAGGGAGGAAGAGGGAAGGAACTCTTGCAAAAGGAAAAAAAGATCTATGGGTTGAGCTGTGGGAAAAGAAGGAAGACAGGTGAAAGATGCTTTTAACTGAAAAGAGAGAGGGAGCAAAACCACAAACAACCACCTTAACTAATAAGACACATGTCTCTCAGCACCCAGATAATTTTTCTTGGATGTGCTTTTCCCCCACCTTTTGTCTTTAGATGGGACTGTGTCACCTTTCTGTGTTTAGAAAGCACCTAATGGGTGGCATTTGTAAAATCTCAGCCAATACTAAATCATCAGCACTGCTCTTTCTGCTGCAAATGAAGGACATTTTGAACCAGGAAGCAACCAGCTCTGAGATACTGCAAGGAACCAGGGGTGTCCCTGAAAGGCACAGCCATCTCTGGGCAGGAACTGGGCACCCTCTGCTCTCAAGGGCAATATAGCTTCAAAGATGATAGGAGTGAGGGGAATTGGGGAACTGGCTAGGAATTTCACAGTAAACCTGAAGGAAGGGTTGTATGCCTCTTGGTGACTTTGATTTGAAGCGGACACACGAGACACGCAAAACCAGAAGAGCCCCGTTGTGCCAACATTAATGCTTCAGCCTCCCTGCAAAAAAAATCAATAGTCACAGCTTTGAGCTCTCACATGCAAACAGGCTGCTCCCCCTGGGATTACCAAACCTGCTGCGCCACATCTCCAGTTGGCGTAAAGCATAAGTCAGTTTCGTTCTTTTAGCTTTGCCAATTTACGCAACTTGCAGACCGAACTTGGTGGGATCGCCGTTTTCCTCAGGGAAAGGTTCTTTGAAGCTTGACCTTAACCTACTGCTATGACATCTGAGTGAACAGGGAAAGGAAGTGAGCAAAACCTTAAAAAAAGGGTTTTTTGGACTCTTTGAGCACTGCAGAATAGAATTCGTAAAGCTGTGTTGGAACTACACTGTGCACCTACCTAACTGGGATTTAAAATCTGAGAGTGAAATAAGAAAATACTTTGGTTTTCCTTTTTACCAATGCAGTGATTTGAAATTTATTTAGCAGAGTCAGATAAAACACTAAGGGACATGACATAAATCAAGATAGCCTGTTGATTCTCTGCAAGGGACTTTGAACACACTGATTAAATTAGAGCATGGTTAAGAATTTGTCTAAGATGTTTTGATAGCTTTTTCTTCTTTTTTTTTTCCCCTGCTCCTGTCATAAGACTGAGATGCATCTCCCTGAGGACAGCACTTTGCTTTTCTTAGGTTAACTCTGTTGTGATGTTTTTGTTTCTGCTCTGCACCTCCTGAACTCCATGAAAAAATTCCCAATGGATTCAGTGGTGCAGCATTCGGGTCTTATAGGCTAGTACCGTGCTGCTTACAGATAGCACCTAAGGTCAATGTATGTGTATTCACTTTGCAGCTATAACAGCACTTTGTGTAAAGTCACCTTCCCTTCCCTTCCCTTCCCTTCCCTTCCCTTCCCTTCCCTTCCCTTCCCTTCCCTTCCCTTCCCTTCCCTTCCCTTCCCTTCCCTTCCCTTCCCTTCCCTTCCCTTCCCTCTACAAACTGACATCATCAGTTTTTCTTGTGTGGAAGAGACCTTTGTAGCCATCCGCACCAGAGGAGGGAGCCCTTGAAAACAGTGAAAAGGGATATTATGTATACCATTTGTGACAAAATATTTAAAGGGTATTCAAGAAGAAATTTATTTTCCTCAGCCACAGATTTTAGGGACACGGTCTTAACTCCTGTGCCTGAGGCTGGGTAGAGAGTTGTGACACTGGTGCCACACATTCCCCACATGGCTGTGAATGAGAGAAGAGAAAGAGAGGATAGGAAAGGATGTGGTAATAAGTAGTTTTATAAAGGAAAAATAAAAGTCATTTGTATATTACAGATTTCATTTACACTAACAAGAGTGCGACTGAATCCCTAGGCAACAGTCTAGCTGAGTTGTTGTTAATGCAGATAGAAATGGCATACATTGGGTATGCAAGTTGCATTTATGCTAGAATTTGGCTTTTATATCGCTTAAAATACATCAATTAACAGCAGAGGCACAGCTACGGGGACAATTATTTAGCTTAAAGAACAAGGGCTTAATTATTTAATCTAAAAAATATTTCCCCAACGTCTTCATTATATTCATGTTACCCCTGGGCAAGGCTCCCAATGGAAAGATTCCCAATAAACGTGCAAAAGATGCAGAGAACAATTTCTGTTGGTTCCAACAAATTATGTCAGTGCATTTCAAATTGCTAAGCACACAAATTGCATGATTAATTACAGTATTTTGAGTTGCAAATGATTTTGGATTAATTTCTAATGCTAACATATCTACAGTAAAGAATTTGACTCTCTCATTTATTTAAGTGTAGAGCTAGAACAAAGGATTTTGTGGACATTCTTATCTGAAATATATGAGATCAGTGCCAACTTAGTCACAAAAAAACCCCATCTGCTCCAGTGGGACAGCCTCTGTAATCAAGGGTAGCAGGATCAGTCCCATAAATCTTTTGTTGGCAATTAAATTTTTAATTCTTCTAAAGGCAATTTTTAGAGAAAATGACAGATTATGTGAGTTAGTCAATTCTAAAACACTGTTTGTTTTTCCTTTCCAAACAGGGCACACTACTGGACCAAGCTTAAATAATGACAAGTTATATAAATTTGCTTACTCAGCTGAAGTGTATGTTGATCGGGTGAAAGCATCACTGCAGAAAAGTGCAGGCTACCGGATTTCTTCTGGTGTGGACGTCAACCTCTTATGGAGAAATCCTGACAATGATGATGACCAGTTGGTCAAAATCACGGTAATTAATGCCATCAGACAACTTAAAACATGCCCAATCTTTTCTGCATTTATCTAACTGCTAATCTAATCTTGAAGAACTCATTTTCAGAAGATGAGGTAAATCTTTTATTATTCTCTAGTCTCATCAACTAAAACCAGCTTCTTCTATAAGCTGATTCCTATAGAATAAGACTTCACAAGAATATATCTAACATCATAAGCCATAACTTCAGAATATCTCCTATATTTTGAAAGTGCTTCATACAGCTTCTATAGCTTCAAACAACTGGTGTGCAATCACCTACCTGAGGGGCAATAGGTTTTCTGAAGTCCTCGGTTCTAGCTGCAAATCATGACATTTGCTAAATACACACTGTGTTTGGTACTTAGCTTTACCGTGAGTTTTTCTGCCACTTATTTCCCCAGTGGTGAGTGCTGGTTTCTTTTGAAAACATAGACATAGTAATCATGGAAGATGAATGATCAGAACCAAAAATGAAGAAATTAAAAAAGTGTTTTATTAGGTGATTTAGTCTATCCAGCTTACTGCAGGCCAATTCTAGACTGTTCTCTACATGAATTTTCTCTGCTTTTACTTTGCTAGATAAGAGATGTTCAAGTTGAAAATGTGAATGAACGTCCAGCTGCTAAAAACATCTTCAAAGGAAAAAGCACAGAGAAGATCATCGGGAAAGAATATCTGGAAGCTTTACAGAGGCCCATAGTTCTTGAGCTAGTCCGTGGAAAAGTAAGACCCTGTCTTTTAAAATTCAATCCCTGAGGAAACCTGAGACAAGTCTTTTCTTATAGGCTTGGAGAATTTACCAATTCACTATCCTCTCAGTGTTCTTAATATGCCATTGTGTCCTATCTTTTTATACTAAATACAATAGTTTAGAACAGACTGTAATTTACCTGTACAAGGGGCCCTTCCAGGGGCCCTTCCAGCCCAGTCTTGTTTTTCATTGAGAACACCATACAGTATGGAACTAAAGAGCAGATTGGCCACAAATATACGGGTACACATGTAGATATATGCACAATTGCTGTGTAAGATTTGTGCTGTTGACTTCAGTGAGGCCAGGATTTTATCCAAGGTCTGAAGGCAGAAAAGGGGATACAGTTTGTCATGAGGGAGGTTATACCGAATCTGTGAGGAACAGTGTTAGCAAATACTTTAGCGTGACTGCTTTTCCCACTTTCTGGCTTCCTTATTTAGTTCAGTGACACCTGCAGTTTCAGTGGTTCCAAGTTAATGAGCTTGATACTGAAACAGCCTTTCATGTTGCTCCTCTGCTGAGAACTGTCTCCAAAAATAAAGGGACAGCGAGCAGGTGTGTTTCGGTGTGTGCCTGGGTTTTATAGCTTGCCCTGAGAGAGCAACAAAGCACTGTCCCACCGCAGGAGCACCCACGTCCAATTGTAGCTCTCAGGGTCCCGATCTTGCTCAGGAAGGGAATCAAGTAAATCCATCTCCCTCTCTTTTTCCCTAAGGAGCTGCTCACTTGTCCCCTTGCGCTCAGCCTACTGCTCTGGCCAGGGAGTGGCAAGGCTTGAGCCATGGCTGCTCCTGCTTCCTCTCCACACTTCTTCACCCTCTCGTTGCTTGTGGCTGGGAGCATTAGGCCAAGAGCCTTGCTCTCCCCTCCACAGCCCGAGCAACTGGGCAGGTGGGACGTGGGCAGAAGGGCAGTGAGAAAGAAGGAAGGTTGAAGGTGACACTCCCTTTTCTCTTCTGCAGAACAGAGTGAGGGCTGTGACACCCTATCCCAGCAGGATCTTTACCTCCTGCTGTAAATAGGCACTGAATACATACCCTGGCCGCCAGCTCAGCCTACTGAATTGCAGCTGCTATCAGGCCTGCTCAGTAACTTTCAGACTCAGCCTTGTCATCAGTTTTACACAACATAAAAAGAAACAGGACAGCACTGGCTCCCAACTGTACACATCCCTAAATGAGGACAGAGGAATCAGAAGAACACAGTCAAAATACATCTGCTCCCACTACATTAAGCAGTTCACACACTAAGATTGAGATGTAGTATTAAAAACTTGGGCTTTTTGTCAGGTAATAGGGTCTGTACGCTCCTTTTATGATTTCCCTGTGCTGTGATACTTTCATCCCTGGCACAGTGATTTCACTTTCCAGGGTTGCCCCGAGATAACACGCTGATTGTACTTACAGTTCCTGAAAAAAGTGCACTTTTAAAGCACCTTGAATACAAAGTGGAGGTGCAAAGTCTTGTTACCAGAGGAGAGGCTCAAGCACAACAGTTGACCCATGAAGTGCAAAGGTTGTGATGTGTTTGACACGTCATTTAAGTCATTCTAACTGTGATCTACCTATGATTCATTCTGGGTTTTTGTAATCTGTGATTAAAGTGCAACAGATATTATGTGCGTGTGGGGAGGGATTATCTGAGAATTATGCAGAAAAATTAGTGACTTGTGAAATTATGTAGTTTCCCATTTCTCTTCTAAATTCTTTCTAAGTAACAGGCAGGAAAGATGCTCACTGCACTGAAACGGTATTTAGGTACAGCTAAAGCCTGAAACATGTTTGTAGTGTTATTGGCAGGCCCTGCAGACTCTGGAGTTTGCTTAAATAAGGACAACAGGTCCAAATTCAGCTCCCAATCAGGAAAAAATAAAGGGAGTTTTTCTAGAGAGGATTCTCACTATTCCCTTCTCACTTAACCAGATTTGTTATATACTTGTTTTTTATTCCTACAGGTCAAAAACTTCTACTCATATCAAAATGAACCTGGTTTTACTCAGAACATTAAGAGAGGTCTGGCTAGCCTTTTCCAGCTACAGCTGCACTCTGGTGCTGCCTGTGAGGTATGGTATTCTACTGGCAAAATAATCATCGTCACAGAAACAGGCAGAGCCTGGTCTGCCCTGAAAGGTAGACCTGTGGCTCCCGCTGACTTCAGAAGGAGTGAAGTGTGACAGAAATCAGCCCTTTGATCGCATTTGAGGTTGGGAATGTAAAGACAGCCTTCTGAACATTTGGTGACACAAGTCAAGTTGCTGCGATTAACATAAAGAATTGGTGAAATCTATTTGATTTAAAATGCTCTTACCAGTTTAGCAGAATTTAGTAATATATCAACTTAAACCAGGTCACTATAAAAGAGATTATACTGATGTTTAAAGTCAGTTGATTCCTAAACTCAATTCAATGGATTAGGTCATTTTAAATCAGACAAAGTTAGCAATGGTTTAGCTGCATCCATTCAAGCTGCGTTACATTGTTAAATTTTTACATCTGTCCACATGAGCAAAGCTGGAATTCATAAGTATAATGCTAACTGCCAGGTGTTTCCTAACTTTTTTTGTTTAAACAAACATTGTTGCTTTCCTTCATAGCCATCTAATGAAAAGTACCCCTGCCTATCCAAAGCAGGTAGTTAGAAACTCTGATACCTTCAAAACTGGTAAACAAACCCAAATAGTGCAGCATCTCATGTAAAAGATTCCAACAGCGGAGAAAATCGTTTATCTTTAGAAGGTGTTCCAGAGTCCCAAAGATATATTCAAGCAATTGTCCTAATCTAACTCTTTTTTTCAAGGTGGACATATCTGGCAAATGCAATACTACTTACCATGTGCGGCAAGATCAAGTGACTAAAATAAAAGCCCTGGACTCCTGTGAAACAGAAAATCAAGGATTTACCAGCCACCACCAGGTATCATTTCTTTAACAAAATAAAACCTGTTCTGCCTATTTAAAAATATATCCTTAATAGCTATTACTCATTTTCTCAAAAGTCCGTTCTTGCATTACAGAAAGCAAATTCTACATGTACATTTTGTAGTATTACTAGTAGAAATGTCATATGTAATACCCATGGGGAGAACAGGGGGTGGATTCTGCTTTTGTGCAAACCACCTTAGCTCAGCTGACATTAAGTGCAGCACACCAATTCTCATAATTTTTTACTATCATCCATAATATATTTTAGTTTCTATGCAGATTTACAGCACTTTTGTCCTGGCTGTACTGAGTTTTTAATCAACGTGAGGCTTCTTTTTCTTTGGAGGAATACGCTATATACAGTCACAGTCATAGTGACAATTGTAACCTTTTTCCCAGCTGCTAAGTCACAGCATTTAGTGTGCACAATAAATGCTGGGCAAGATGCTGACTCCTGAATGGAGCCCTGTCAGATTTGCCTGGAAGGTCAAAGGCTTCCCTAATGCACAGGTGTAATGGAGGAGATGTGCTGTAGAGGTAACTGAAGCCCTTCGTGGTCCCTCACTACTAGTAAATGCCTTTCTAAGTGGTTACTGCTGAGTGCAGGCTGGACACGTGCTGAAGGCACTGGGATTCTCCGTGTCAGAAACTGACCTTTCTCAGCTCAGAGAAGTACAAAGGTAGCACACGCTCTGTTAATAAACCGCCTTAACACTATGACTGAGTTCCTGATTTTCACACTTGCCACAAAGACTCCATCTTGTTTACAAACAGATCAAGCAAGGTGGCTGGCTTTGCTTCCCAGGTGTGAACATGACAATCTTGTTTACAAAACATTTCTCTGGAAAAGCTTCTCATTTTATTTAAAGTGTATTTTTAATTAAATGTAGTACTGGGCATTTTTTCAGTTACAGCCTGCTCATAATTTCGTCCCATTCTCCCTCCTCTTTTTTTTCTGGTATGTACTGAATTTGAAACACGTGGTGCAGAAGTGAGTGACTTCTTGTTGCAGAAGGAATTCTTGAGAACCTGGAAGATCCTGGTTTGTAGGCTTAGCTTGAGATGTTGTCAACGCACATGCACCTTCCTCATTTGGCTCTATTTCATCATGAGTTTTTCCCCCATGTGGAACTGTGAGCTCTTTTCTTATTCTGTTGTTTATTGATCAGCCCTTTTTCTGGTTTATTTTTTAATTATTTTCAGATTTTAGATGTCGGTACAAAAGCCACATCTGCCACAATTTATGTGCTGGAAGACAGTTTCATTAAATCCATTAAGGCAGAAGAAAATTATGTTTTCCTTCTGAATTCCCGACGAAAAACAGGTGCCAGAATACTTTCAAAGTAAGTTTGACTGTCATTGATACTAGCAGGACTAGTAGTTCAAGTCAGGTTATATGTGTATGTCTTATAGCATCAAGATTTAAGGCTCTAAGCTCTCAAGGTAAGGATTTAGGTCTCTCTTATATGGTACCTAGTCCAACTTTGATTAAGGGCTCTACTGTACTACAAATAATAAATAATGACATTCATAAGAAATTAAATGGAAACAGTTGGAATTAGACAAAACATTTTAAGCAACACGTTACTTCTGTAGGTGTTCCATTTCTGTGTCCTCTCATTTCTTAAGAAATACTTCAAATGGATCTCCATTTCTAGTATGTGAAATTTCAGAAGTATAGAAAACAAAATCTGCTGCATAGAAAGGAAACAACAGTGAAACCTAGATCTGTGTTAGACTCCAGACTCCAAAACACTGAAAGTTTGAAGATACTCATTCAAGATAAATGATTCAGGCATCTCGTTATTAGGAGTATATTAGTATTATGATATTAAAAAAATGTACATTCAAAATCTCACTTTCCAGATCTTCTTATGAACAAATATATGAAACATTTCAGAATGCATATGGTTACTGAAGGCTGTTTACCAGATGCTACAAATCCATACTTTAGAAAGTCTAATGTTTAGGTATCTTATGCCACATACCGCTAGCAGTAATTCTGCTGGTATCAGATGCTTCTGTTACCTTAAAAAAGCCATAGACTTGCCATGTTCTGAACATTTTAAAATGAGACTTCAATAAGTCTGTGTTCTATATTTTTGGTCTGTGGGGGGGTTTTTTGTTTCCGCTTGCCGTGATTTCTGCATTTCTGCTCTAACGGTTGAGCTCTAATAGTGTTTTCACTGTATGGATGCACAGGCAGCGACTGGAACTGAAGTTGGTAGAAGCTGGCCCTGGACTGATCGCTGGGAAGCAAGTTGCCAGTGTTATCAAGACCTTGGACCCCAGTTACGTTGCTGTGCCACTAGTAGCAGAGCCAGTCAAATCTGAATGCAAAAAGTGTCCTTCAGTAAGTAAACACAGGCTCATTGGACGTCAGGTCAGTTAGCTGAGCAGAACAAGTGTGAAAGAAGTTTCTGTCCAAGCAGCCCACTAGCAGAGGTCTAATGTAGCAATATAAAATATGCTCCAGAGTGGGGAGCACAGTAGTGAGGCAATGGTGCTCCACCATACGAGGGTGTTTTAAGATCTATCTCTCAAAGTACCAACCTTTTTGCTCTCTTTCAAAGATTGAGTGCAGTATTTCTCAAGACCACTAGAAAATACAACACCTTTTTGTTTTATCTCATCTTTGCCAACCTTGAGTTGGCAGGAGCTTATTTTCTCTGGGTAATGGAGTGGGATATGACTTTTAAGATGGTTGGCCAGTGTTTATAAACAATTCTGTCATGGAGGAGCTGAACTGCTCCTAGAAATTAAAGGTAGTTAGCCATTCCTTAGGCAGGCTAAACATTTGTTGGTAATATATCCAGCCTTTTCTTACTGCCTGACCCTGAAGGAAGTCTATTATTTAAAAGACTTTGTAGGTATTTTGTAAGTATAAAATGGGGCTTTAGTATTCTTGGCAAGTCCAATACTGTTCCAATTCTTCCCCTGGGGGGAAAAAAAAAAGTCTTGTTTTTTTATATTTAAGACATCTAAAGACTACTAAGAGCTTGGTACTATAAATGCATCATCATTTGTTTTACTGATGCTATTCATCATAAATTAATATAAATTGCTACAGTGATTGTTAGCAAACAGTTCTAATGCTATTACCATTGTGGAGTGAATGGGAACATTAATTTAAAGATTATTATTCTCTGTCAGTTTTTGATAAGCAAGATAAGGCTTCTATTCAGCACACATAATTTCAGTCCTCCAGAGATACTCTTTATGAGCACAAATACCTTACTATATGGGAACTTGTGCTTGTTATTTGGAAGTAGCATGACACTGTAATAATTTATCTTGTCTAATGCTCGTTGAGCCGCAGAGAAGATAAAATATGTTGGGGGAAATGAAATAGGAATGATGCTGCATGCGTGCTGGAGCAGTTCTGAGCAGGGAGCATCAAGGGATCTTAAACAGATCAGGGACAGGTGCTTTTTCCCTGACTCTGCCCATCGGGGTTTGTGCTGACCAATTTGTCACTTGGAACCGAGTTTGTCATAATAGTTATACAGATAATTTCCAGACCAAGATAACAAACATAGGGTATAATTCCAGAGCACTGCCTGGGGACTGAGCTATGTCATTATAAACCTAATGGCACGACGAGAATGAAGTCCTGCTTTCTCGCTGTATTTTACAGTAACTGCTATGAAAAGATGGGGTCTATAAACAGAACACTGTATCCAAAGCAGCAACATAACATTTGGTACTTATATATCATAGTATACATTAATGCCACGCTGACATGGTATGCCCTACAGTTTTACGTTTTCAAAACCCTTTTTAAATCGTAACAGGTCTTATGTCTATCTTTAATGAATTTGGTAAAATAACCATTGGTACCCCCACTTCACAGATGGCAGCACTAGCTTCTGTGAGGTTATGGCCAACATTTACATTTAATTTTAGGCCTAGATTTCTGTGTTTAGACATCATAAAGCATGCTGTTTTCAGAAGAGCTCATGGTTCTTACATTTTTTTTTATGCTCATGGTTCCTACAGGAATAGATGCTTGCCCCTTCTGAAATTGAGGTGGTTTTGTTCTGTCTTCTGAGGCAACCTTTGTAGGTTGGTAAAACAGCCATCAGGCACTGACATTCAAACCCAACTCCTGCTCAGTTTAGGACCTCTTGGTTTGGCTTGAATTTTCCTAGAGTGCCCACAAGAGCTCTGGTCTGATCTGTCTGTCAGAGAGACAGAAATTCGTGTCCAATGTTGGCTGAGTTGCCATGTGGAAGTGCACGCATCTGTGCCTGAATCCTTGAGGTATTCAATGCAAACTGCCTGACATTCACATCAGGAGAATGAGGTCCCTCACAAAAGTCAACTGTGAATGCTGTTTTTTAAAGTCATGGTCACTGCAGGAGATGGCAGCTGCTCCTTGTAGCAGTTGAATGGTTAGAGCACCCCCCCAAAGAGGAAGACTTGCTCTCCACATTCTTTTGCTTGAGATGGCTCCAGCTCGCATCTCCCACCTTGCTCATCTCTAAGGTATGGGCTAAGCTGACTAAGAGCAGCCCTCACAGCTGGGCTCTGCACAGGAGAAAATACAGGACTAATGAAGTTAGAGATTTTTTGCTGGGCTATGGTGCAACTTCAACAGGGGGAATAGAAAGTGCCCCGTATGTTTATCCAATTTGAGCTTATAATAGCCACATTGACCTTGGTGCTAAGCACAATCACCAGTTGAGGTTAACAGACCCATCTGTGCCTCAGAACATGAGCTCCTCCCAGCTGATCATTTATCCCCGGGAAATAGCCTATGTCTCAATCATTGTTGCCTAATTACTGTTTGTTACAGTTGATGGAAGTTGCACTCTGTACTGCTGGATAACACTTCTATTTGCCGGCAGGTTCAAGTGTTATTGCCTAATACAAAACCCATGAAGAAGGGAAGTATTTTAGCAAAGGTCAAATGGGTGCTAGTGTTATTTCCCACTCAGGAAAACTGCAGTAAACACTGCTACGAAGAACAGCTGTGTTTTCACCAAAGAATGTTCTCGATAATTTGAGATAACAGAGGCAAAGGCAAGTGAGAGAGGAAAGGTCAAAATACCTGCACCAGTTTCTTATGGGAGTGTATCTGGAAGGACAGATATAGGTGCTTTGGTACCATATTGGCTCATTCAGGTCAAAATACAGCAACAACATATGAAGAAGCCAATACCTGTTCTAATACCATCTTACCTATCATTTTGTACAATAACCACAAATCCCTCCCTATCTTATGCAGGTTTATGAATAAGGAATGGGAATTACTTATGGGACATTTACTCCCGTTCCACACAAACCAGTTATAAAGCTACCATCTTCTAAGAAAATATTATTAACTTGTAAACTGAGGATTGTGCATCTTCCACTTAAAAAAAAAATTACTTAGGAGAAAATGGGAACAGAAGGCAAACACTGCATTCAGCAGAAAGCGCAGTAAATTTGCAAGAGAGAGAATTCACCTTATTCCAGTTACAGTCTAAATAATGATGTTTTGTTCCAAAATAGATTGCTTTTAAGGTTGTACATTATTAAGAAAATGCTAAAGTGCTGGAAGAGAGACAGCTATAGAAATGTTTCAAAGGTATTTGTGCTGGGATATCATAAATTAAATAATACTTAGCTAAAGAATCAGCAATCTATTGGATTTCAGATAATTTGAGCAATAACGGGCCCACATATCTGCATTTAGTAAGTCTGATTTTGAGAACTGAAACCACAATCTGAGAGATTTGACATAATGTGAATTATTTTACAGCTTTCTGAACATTGGCAGAGCATCAGAGAACATATGTATCCTGAAAAACTTTCCAAAGTTGAAGCAGCAAGAAGCTTTTTGTCCTTCATTCAGAACGTCAGAAAAGCTACGAAAGAGGAGATACTGCAGATTATTAGAAGTGAAAATAAAGAACTCCTGTAAGTCATCATGAATAAGCTTTCAAAAGGTTTGAGTTACTTAAAACTACAGAAGGGCACATTGCATGCGAACAGATTTAGTTCTACTTGTGATGTCCTAGCAATGCAAAACCAGTATTCAGTACTATCTACAGGAAAAGGATTTTTTTTTTAAAGCTGTGTTTGTTTTTGTAGTATAATACATTTGCAGCACACTGTTCAGCCACCAAGACTGTATCTGCAATGCAAGGCAAACGTGCTTTGTAGCTTAACCAAAGGTTCTCATCCCGATTGCTTGTTTTGAAACACACTGTAACTTGTTCTTGAGTTGCCCATTTTCCTTCAGATGGAAATACAGCAAAGAAGGGGATGGTTCATCCCGGGATATTGTCCTAATATTAGAGTTTGGGTATGAACAGCATGTGCACCTAGACTTGGGAGTTGGAAAGCATTTCCAAATCCCACCATACAGTCAGGATCTTTCAAACAAATTATAGCAGTTGTTAACAATAGAGATAAACCTGAGAGCAACTCAGGTAGCGTAGAAGCCTGTTCTCTAGTTGCCATTGTATGTAGAAATAAAACGCTTTTTTCCATTTAGAACCATGTCCTGTAAACTTTAAGACACTCTGCATAGTTCTGGTTTTTTAATACCTTTTTGATCCTGTATTTGCACAAATTCAAATATTATTATCCATGGATATGAATAATTTCTGGAGTTCATCTACCATTTTGAGGCAGAAGAATTCAGGCACACGTTTTTTTCCAACAAGAGTAAAAATTTCTGTCTTTTGCCTGCAATGCAGAGATCTTTAAGCACATTAGCTTCTTTCTTTCTATATGCAAAGTCTTTCTATATGAAAAGTCTTTTCAGTATTTTCTAGCTCATTACAATGATATGTTCATTTCCACTTCTTTGTAGTCCACAGGTAGTGGATGCTGTAACCTCTGCTCAGACCCCAGCATCCCTGGAGGCCATACTGGAGTTTCTTGACTTTAAGGATGCAAGCACTTCTGCCATGCAGGAACGATTCCTGTATGCCTGTGGATTTGCTTCTCACCCCAGTGAAATGCTCCTGAAATCTTTAACTGTAAGTCAAAGGACAAAACAAATACAACAGAGTTAATACTCTTGAGCCTCATTCCTGTCAAAGGGGAAGGGAAGAGGAAACAACTGTTGCTGTTTCCAATTTTCCTTTCTTTATCCCTTCCAGGGTTTCCTTTAAATGCGCCACTAGCATATAGCCTGAAAACAACAAAAATTCATAGGTCCAGACTGAAAGTCTATTTACTTTGTAAAATATTATCAATATCTACTACTTGGAAAACAAACATAATTCTGAATGTTAGCAAAACAATTTGAGGGTTGTTTGATTGTTGCTTTATCAAAGTCCTGTAACCATTTAATAGTCTTTTTTTTTTAATTTAAACACAGCTTCAAAATGAATCTACTATTTGAGACACTGAATGTAACTCAAGGGGAAAATGGCACTCAGCTATTATATGTAATAATAGAGCAGTGCTCTGCTTAGCCTGAGCCCAGGCCGTCGTGGTCATCACTGCCTTTGCATTGCACTAATGTTCACAGGAAATGAGGGAGGGTATTCAGCCCACTACAGACTGTGGTTCATCATATTTAGACAGAGACACTAACAAGATTGCTTTTGCATAACAGGCTAAGTTCAAGGGTGATATTGCGAATGAAGAAATCAGAGAAACTCTTGTCATTGTCATGGGAGCGCTCATCAGAAAGCTGTGTGACAGAGAAGGCTGCAAGCTTCCAGTGAGTATCTGCTGTTCGCTGCTGGCCAAATTCTGGTCTGCAACACACATGAATGATCCCTGCTGATGTTACTGGGAGAGCATGAGAGACATGGGAAGCATATTCCCCCCTGTTTTAAATTAAGCCCATAAACTCTTACGTTTGATTGAGAGAGGATTTTTTTTTTTTTAATAATGACATCTACTTTGTCAGCTTTAGGCTTTAATCTGGTCTCTTCCCTTTTCTGTGGATTTGTCCCGGTTTGGCCTTGTTTGACAGAACATTTTCTCACTGCCTAGTCTGTCAGCAGAAGCAATACTTTTGCTCCCTTGTCCAAAAGCTTCGCATGTGCTCAGAGAAACACTGGTGAACTCAGGATCTATTTAATATCTGCAATCACCTTAGGTTACTTCAGCTCTGTGAAGAACATTCATTGGTTCAAGTACTCAACTCTGCCCCAAACATGCATAGAACAACCGAGGAAGAAGGCTGGATGAGGATGATCAGACAAGGCACTGCAGCCCGCTGGATCTGTGCTGTTTGAGATTGCAACACACTGCTGAAAATATACAGAGCACCTGAATGGCCCTTAGGAATCCCTTTTTCCTTCCCCTGTTAATTGCCAAGCTTATAACATTATGTTATGAAGCACTAAAGAACACTTTCCCTTATCTTTTTTTGTGGGGTCATGTTGGCCCCACAAGTAAGACCTGTGAAGTCCCTGAATCAGGGCAGGAGCAGCTAGCAAATGATAAATCTATGGACCAGGTGTCACTGTGGATATGGCCACTTTGGTTATGCTTGAAGGAAGCCATCGACCTACAGTTGACAAATGATACCTTTGCTAACCCTGTGCAATGATGCTTTGAAACAAAAACATGCTAGAACTCAGCCCTGCCCCTCCTACTTCTGCAAGGGAAAAAGGTAGGTTTATGATCACCATTTAAACATGCTGTTGATTTTCTTTAGGCTGTTGTGGAAGCCAAAAGGCTGATTCTAAATAGACTGGAGAAGGCTAAGAAAGATGACAATGTGAGGATGTACCTGCTGGCACTGAAGAACGCACTCCTTCCCGAAGCAATTCCACTGCTTCTGAAGTACGCCGAGTCAGAAGAAGGGCCCATCAGCAATGTTGCTACCACTGCCTTACAGAGATATGATCCTTCTTTTCTCACCAAAGAGGTAAGAAAATATACTGCCCAAGAAAAGAAGTGCAAGAGACTGTATTAAACATAAAGTATAAATTAACAGAGTTCATTTGTCAGTCCCACTCTTTTTAAAGATGCCCCACGTATGTTTTTTTTACCTCCAGAAAGTTATTATACACACTTCAGTTCCATCCAGAAAACTATACGTTCTTGCTTGCCAAATCCCAGCTTTCAGTCTGCCAGCGCTAGTCAGCCTTTGGCTCCAGAGTCACATCGAAGGTGGCAGGCAGGCAGTCTGCAGGGAAAACTGGGCTCCCTTCGCAAGAGCACCGCCTTCTCTGTCATGTTCAGGAGACATTAGGAACACTTGGGCACCTGCGTAACCCCTGTTCTTTCTTGTGCTTTCACATAGCCAGGGAGAATGCATGAAGTAAGAGAAGGACAAAATAGCTGCATCTTACCTTGCAGCCTCCAAGAGCAAGAGAAGACATACAAAATAGCGGAACATGAGGTCCTGCCTCTGCTGCGTTACCCTGCATCCCATTTCATACCTACCACTGGCAGCTGTGACTGATGTTGTCAGGGTGCTGCTCCGCAATGAACATGCCAGAGGCCGTTCTGTCATTTAGTGGGGCTAAATGGCTCTCCAGGGACTTATCTGTAACAAAGATGCGTCACAACTTTCTCAGAGACATGAGGCCACCACAGGCACTATCTAGAAAATTAAAATTGTAAGATTCTTCATTTTTTTAAAGTACATATTCCCTTAACAGTCAAGGAAATCTCTCTCTTGATGTTACCACTGCCACAGTATTTTGATCTTAGTGCTCCTACTTCTTTACAGCCCCGCTGTGAAAATCAGTGAGGAAGCTGTATTTGGACTGTGGCTGAGAGAACTTAACAGATGCCCCACTTGCCCATGTGGTCACTGAGCTATACACATTTCGTACATTCCAAAAGGACCACGAAAAACAGTGTGCTGAAAAAATATCCTTATGTATTAGCCTTAGCTATGGAGCTAGCTTAAGCTGATATTATAAATGAGATTCCAATCTGTACTTCGCCCAGTCATCTGTGTGAGCACTGACTGAATAATCTGTTTCCTGACCAGGTGAAAGAAACAATGAACAGGATATACCACCAGAATCGTAAAGTCCACGAAAAGACAGTGCGAACCACTGCAGCTGCTATCATCTTAAACAGTAACCCATCCTACATGGAAGTGAAAAACATCCTGCTCTCCATTGGTGAGCTGCCTCTGGAAATGAACAAGTACATGCTCAGCATGATCCAAGATATACTTCAATTTGAAATGCCTGCAAGGTACATTAAGTTCAGTACAAATAAATACAGCTCATCCTTACTTCTTTGCAGAAACCTAAAGAACACACAGCTTCTCATGAATTACTACTGTAAAATTTAAGAAGAGTATAAAAGGATGCCTGATTTTTATGTCACTTTTAAGTATTGATATTTCAGAATAAATCTCTGCATTTCAATGACATTCATTTAATAGCTATTCACATTTTCAGAGGTATAAATAAGAATTAGACATCTAACTTGCATTACTGTAAGAAATGTCATCTGTTGGTCTTAATTCTCTCAGTGGGGCCCTTGCTTTTATATTTTAAGAACAAATGAACCAGAAAAATTTTAAATATCACAGCACTAGAATGAAAATAATCAAAATATCTCTTGTTTTCAACACCATTAATTTTCAAGCAAGACCTTTGCTTGCTTTTCTACCTCTGACTGCAGGGAGTAGCTGAAATTGGAAAAGAGACTCTGGGTTAGGGCAGATTTTTAGTGGGAAAATGTGAGGGTTTTGAAGACCCTCTTTCCTACTGGGAAATTCACCCCCTCTCAAATTTGATATTTCTACAGAAGAGTAATACATTTGGTACCATATAATTTTTGTGTCTCCGTGTTTTTGTCTGTTTGTTTGTTTTGAAATACCACAGCAAAACTGTTCGGCAAGTTCTGAAGGACATGCGTGCTCATAACTATGATCGCTTCTCCAAGATGGGCTCTTCCTCTGCCTACTCTGGCTATATTACACGTATGTAGCCATGAAACTGCCTTTTAGCCCTGTTTGTATTCCCAAACATTTGATTAATCCACTAGTTTAGTCACAGGTACTTTCTTTCTTTTTTAATTAAGGTGGTCCCGATGTATCATCCACATACAGCCTTGACATCCTCTATTCAGGCTCTGGCATTTTAAGGAGAAGTAACGTGAACATCCATATTTTCGATAGAAATGCTGAACTTCATGCCATCCAGGTAACTGCCACACCGCACATAAAAATTAAGCCAGTATGTGGTCCTCTTCTTACAGCTTCTAAATCAATTCAGCTAATGCTTAAGACCATAAAGTTTGCTGCATGGGGCAGAGAACAAGCCAATAACAGGGGAAAAAGAAACCACAACAGTCAATGAGGCACATGTTTGCCCTAACCAAAAGACAGGTGTTTTGTTCTGTATCATATATCAAGTTCTGTCTCGGGTTAAAGCCTATACTGTTTATCTGATGTAATCAGTAAAAGCCCTGCGAGTTTGTAAAATCAAGTCCTTGTTTCGGATATAACATAGAATGGAAATACAAGGAGTAGATCAAATGTATGAATCAGAGAGATTTAAATGAGATGCCTCTTTTTGGCCTTTTCTTAATGTTGGCAACTACCTTCAATATTATAATCCTCCTAAATTTCTGCAGGACAAAAATTGCGCAGTGGAACATCCTCGGGTTTTCTTCCCAAATGTCTGTGCAAAATAGTCATATGAATACAGGAAAATCTGTTTGAAAGAAAAGGAGGCTTGGGATTGTGAGCTGCATGTGGGTAAATTCTGCCTGCATCTAAAGGGAAAAAACATGCTGTGAGATTATTTTATTTTCCATTTTTCTAGCTGCTCTACCTAGTTCCCTTAAGTCTTAACCTCATACTTTTTCACCTACAACTTCATAAATTAGAGTTAGGCTCTTAGACATTAAGAAAATGTGTAGGGTTGTTAACAGCCTGGGGCAGGCAGAGTTTTTTTATTGATTCTGTATCACTGTTGCTTCTTAGGTGGTGATTGAAGCTCAAGGTCTAGAGTCCATAATAGCTGCAACCCCTGATGAAGGCGAGGAAAACCTGGACTCCTTTGCTGGCATGTCAGCCGTTCTGTTTGATGTCCAACTCAGACCAGTTACATTTTTCCAAGGGTACGGTGATTTAATGTCTAAAATGCTCTCAGCAACTGGAGATCCTATGAACGTGGTGAAAGGACTTATCCTCCTGACAGATTACTCACAGGTACTAATAGCACACTGTTTGCTTCTTTTTCTGTCTCTTAAGCACACATGCTCTCTCCCCCACACCATTATTGTAGGACATCTTATTTTCTCTCTTTTCAGTGCTGATAAACCTGACCAATGTTACATAGGCTTCTTTTATTATGGGAGCAATAGAAAAGTCACAGGTATTAACAGAATGAAATTACATGAAAAGCAATCTAGAACACAGGTGAGAACACATATCATTCTACAAAACAAAGTAACAGTGAATAAAAGCAAATCCAACTGAGTTTCCTGTAGAAACTCATATTGCTATCAGCTATGGCCTCCCCTCCCACAGTTTTTTGTAATACAGTATTGTCCCATGTGACCACCTAAGTTTTCCTCTTCAAAAGTTGTCCAGAGATGTTACATCCAATTAGGCAATAACTGTCAGGTATGGAATGAATGAATCTGGTACTCAAACTTTCCCAGAACTTTCAAAGAACAATGCTAAGAGGTCCAAATTTCAAATGCTTATTGCTAGGCAAAACCAGAATTAAAATAAGGATTACACAGTTTTTATGCAACTATCACCCCAAATGGTCTGTTAATTTTATGCCTAAATATAGACTCAAATACAAATATAACTGGCTACGTAATGTGTTATTGGAAGGCTAAAAATCTAGACATCTCTCTGAAAGTGCAGGGCCAGCATTTGGTTTGATGTTTTTGTTCTCCCCAAGCAGGGATCTCCTTAGAACTTGTGGATTTAACAGCAGCACTCAGCTCATGAAACATCTGCAGGCTCAAACTTTACTTTTTGCTTTTCCCCTTTAATTCTTGGCAAAAGAAAATTCCAAAAGCAGACGATGAGAAAATCCACTCTGATCAAAATTACACAGAAACACCCCCTGTAAATGACAGCTGTCCCCATCCTGAACCCAGCTCAGTCCCTTTATAAAAATATTATAAGTCTAGGGCTTCCCATGTAGTGCACAAATTGGCAAACAAAAGCTCATTCCAACAATGCTTTACAGTTCCCACGCAGATTATGGGCAAAAACTTTACCATGACCTATTTAACAAACAGACTGCAGAGGTGAGAAAGATAATCATGTCCAGTCCTGAGCATACCAGCGTGGTGTTTACAGAACTAAATATTTCCAACTGCTGTGCGTGCACCAAGCTCCATACATACCCTAGCTGAATCAGCTGGCCAGGCACCCCGAGAGCTCTGCCAGCCAGCAGATTCTCCACTCCTCGTCTTTGGAGAACCTCACAAAAGTCAGGGGCACACCAGGGCTGGGACTGTGTGCCATTTTTAACAATATCAGGGTGTAACATTTTCGGTCAGTCACTGACTCTCTGGAAGCCTGGGCAGCAGTGTGATGAGATGGGATCCCACCCTGCTTTCTCTCTTGGGCTGCCACTAGCACAGTTGCAATCTGCCTAAGCTCTTCAGGACTCATCAGTAGACACAACAAAAAGTGTGTGTTCACAACCAAAAAGGCACTTGTTCTTACCTCTACACCCCACAAAGACAAAAATTGTTTAAAGCACTGTTGAACACAGCTTCAGGCTGAGCTGTGTTTTAAACACAGCACATCTTTCTAAGAATGGTTTTACAGCTACATTCCAGGTCAACAGCAACATCAACACAGTTTGGGCACTTCCACATAACGCAGCTAAGCTTCATTAGAAATGCTTTCACCTGTCAGGTTCTTGAACTGTGATTACAACTGTACCAGGAAACACTGTCAGAATGGAAGTGTGAATGGTGTAACACTGGAACTGAGGAAAAACAGTGCAAGAGAGCCATAATTAATCTAGCTGCCTGATAGTTGAGTACTACCTCCACTTTCCCTGGCCAGCATGGACAGAGCTTGCCCAGAACATAAGCCCCCTTACAAAGTCATACTGTAGACGCCAAGACAAACGTGGATTTGTCTTCTTTCAAAGAAGAAAACCAGGCATGGGAAACAGTGCTCATTCTATGATACCAAAACTCCATGTGCCACAGCTGGCCACTAAGTGATTTCAGAACAGGCAGAAAACAAACATAAGATACAGACAGCGCAGCTGAGATCAAACATCAAAAGGATGGCTTGGAAGCCAAGACTGGAACTTAAAAATAGGGCAATTGAATTGTCAGAAAAGAACTTATGTAATATTTGGGTTGCAATTTTTGCATTGGTGCAGCCTGATCTTGAGAAAAGAGATTTTTAAATATTAGAAAAGTTCTGCTCCCTGTTGCTGTTTATAAGGATTATTTTGCACAGAAAGACCAAACTGAGTTCTACTCAAAGTGCTGTCAAATCTACCAAATAACCCCCCATCCCCCTCCCCCCGAAAACAGCTTCCTTTCATTAACTTTACAATTGCAGTAATCACAGTAGGCACATTTTGGAGAGGTGATTTCCAAGTTAATAATATTGCTTCAAAAGCTTACACTCCTGCCCACCAGCTGTAACATCTTTTCTCACATAATTCCACAAACTGAAATCAGAGTGTATTTTACAGCCATTGCCAGTTCTCACAGTGTTGTTTGAGGACTAAAAATAACCATCCAGAAGTTATAATTCCCTTTATGAAATAAACAGCTCTCATAAAACTGTTTTTGAGACTCCTAAGTCACCTGCACTGAAGTTCAGTAGTGTTAATATTTCTCCTAGGCAACACACCTGCCAGAAGCACAGAGAAATTAAATACTGTATTAATAGTTCAGAGAAACCATTTGAAAGCCAGACCCCAGTGGAAGATAGCCAGTTCCCAAAGAAGTGCCTGTTTCAGCCGTCTCTGCATTGCATTACAGTAGAACTGTCAGTACAGTACATAAAGAAACTTTTTTTTACTGAAACATAGCACGTTTCAGCATTTTAAACAGTAACAAACTACCAATTCTGATCTTTCGGATCACATTTTCCACTGCAAATGACATACAAAGCTTAAAATAGAAAGGGAAGGGAAAATACTGCTCCTGAGGAGGCTGGGTCCCTGTGATTTACACCTCCCATCAGCCTGGGTTGGATTTGCACATGAGGCAAAGGACAGGACTGAGCTCTAAATAAGGAAATAGATGAGCTAGTAAAACACAAGACAAGTGCTCCTTAGCTTCTCTGCTGGTTTCAGTGACAAACCTGACTTAATCCTAGGTAGCCTTTAAAGCCTTAAACTGTGCAGCTATTGCAAACCAAGCCTACCTTAATATTATTAGGTGCAATTTGACAATGCATCTAAAAATATCTGCTCCTCTGGTTGTGTGTACATGTCTCTGCTTTTAATTGGGACTGAATTGGTGGATAGCTGTTAATGAGCGAGGAGGTAACAATATACATTCTGGCAAAGTAAAATGAAGCAAAACAAGCTATATCTCCACACCTAAACAGACCGACAAGGAAAGTATTCCTTACCCCATTGCAGTCAGTAGAAAGACCCCCTTTGATTTCAGAAAGACCGCAATTCCAACCCATGATTTTTACTTGGGTGAAAATAATCACACTTGCTGGGAGTGTGGCGGATTTATAAGCCACAGCCAGCCCACTGCATTCTTACATTAAATCTCAAGCCCACTTCAGCAGCAGCGGACGGCCAAGTTGGTTCTGCCAAGGAGATTGTTTCAGAGATTGTTTATTTACCCTAAAAGGTGAAGTAACTATATACAGCCACCATAATTATCCAAGTTCTCGATTATGGCAGGAAAACTTTAATGCTCTGAAATAAAAACCTCCCCAAATGTTGCTCCTTGCTATAGGGATTAGGAAGCCAGACTGTCTCTGCTTGCTTCTTTCTTAAATCTTGGGACAGCATTAGCTGAAACTACTGGGCTACTGAATAGCTAAGAAGAGAAGAGAGACTTTTAAGGTGCCTGGACATCAAAAAGGGGGAGGAAATAGGGTATTCACACGTCCTACAGGTGCCTGCAGCATTACAGGTACTGAGAATACCACAGGCACAGAAACCCAGAAGGTGGGAGAAAACCAGCTGGGAGAGAGGAGGAAATGTCCTGTATGCGAGGGACATGATCAAAAAAAACTTTTCCCAAATTAGTGGTTCGTTTAAAACAGTGAATTAACCCACTAGTTCTTAGGGAAGCAGGACAACTATATAAAGTGAGTTAGATTGCCAAGCTGAGTGAACCTTAAAATCTTGGCTGTGTGTCAAAACTTAAAAGTAACGAGCTGCCATGACCCTGAGCTATATTATCACTTCCGAAACAGACTCCATGTGATGCGTTTCCAGTCCAGCCGTAGAGGTTTCAAGAAGCCATGAGCACACTTGATGGTTGATGGAAAATGCATTAAATGCAAATTCACAGTGGCAATTAAGTGCATTAGCTTATGGGTTTGGCCACCCAGCCACTGAGGACATAATTCCTGCCATATGGTGGGTTTGGAGCCACTACACACTGCACGACTGGTTGCAGCACTTTGCATCCTACTGCCAGTACGGGGCTGCCTTCGGGTGTGCTGAAGAAGTCACACTGCACTGCACCATTGCTGGGGCTCCAGCGAGGAGTTTAATCTGACTTAGCTGGACTGCCAGCAGAGCCTCTGTGAGGCTTGCGTGGTAGCTCTTGGAGACAGAGGCCATGATATTCCTTGCAGTGATACTCCTTGCAGAAATTATGCCAGCTGGCACACAGGGGAGAGGGGAAGGATGCAAGGCACCTCACCTTAGCTTCATCCCATTTTCTAGGGAGCGAGGTACATCAGGGGTGTTTTGTCCACCCCTTCAGAAAAGCCCTCTATTCCTTTTTGTTCCTGCAAAATGACAAGTGGCGTGATCACAGTACAAAAGAGAGTAAGGAAACCACTGAGGTCTGCAGTCAGTAACGAGGGGGTTACTTGTGCTTTCTGATGGCTCTAGGAGATTCAGCTGCAGTCCGGGCCGAGGGCCAGTGCGGAGTTCCTGGGCGGCCTGGCCATCGACATCTCGGGAGGGATGGAGTTCAGCCTGTGGTACAGGGAATCCAAAACCAACGTCAAGAACCGGTGAGATACTCCTAGCACGCGCTGTAGCTGTAGAGAGCTCAGGCTCCTGAGCCCCAGTAGTCCCAATGAGAAGAATTTAAATATAAAAGACCTTGCAGATGAGTTAAAATCAAGTAACAGTTATGTGCATGGGAGAATATTTGTACTTCTTGTTTCCTTTCCACCTGGGTAATACCAGTTCCCACTGGTCTGATCTGAATTTACGTACCTTTACCTGAAGAACAGGCTCCTTTGAGGGCAGATTTATGCAAAACAGTACTGTTTGCATTTTAATTTCCTCTTTCTTAAGAATTGTTTTGAATTAATTGTAATGCCTGAATTTATTTGCAGGGTAGCCATGTTTATAGCTGGTAACACCGAGGTGGATTCCCTCTTTGTAAAAACTGGTATGGAAACCACTTTGGAAGTAGAAACGACATTAGACTTCATCTCCACGGTGCAGTTTTCACAGTACCCGTTTTTAGTCTGTATGCAGATGGACAGAGTTGAGTCTCCATTCAGGTAAGAACTAAGAGCACACAATTTCTGAGGCATCCTTCCAGCCAGTTGCTGAATCTGGAACTTTTGGTGTTCACAGCCATGAGAGGTTAACAACAGAGGCCAAATTTCAGCCTAACACAATCAGGTGCAGCGTAGGCTGTTACACATACCAACCTCTCTGCTAACTCATTCTTCCCTGTCCCTCACCCCTGACTTTCAGGAAGATCACAGCTTGCTCTGAACATGCACTTTAGTCCAATATTCTAATTTAGTTTTGCAAGTAAACTAACTGAAGTGGCAGGACACTGGTCCTCTTGCGTTCGATCAGTTCTGATGGTGATCTGAAATTTTGCCAGCAGCAGTTCTCTATTACACTGTTGAGAGAGGAAGTGCATAGCCATAAACTAGCTGAAAGGGAAAGTTTTCTTCATCATCTGCTATTTACTAGTGTCAACAGAAGTACCTGGTGTGTTAAGCTCTTGCTACCATCATGTTCTATCATATTTTATTAAGGCACCAACTTTCCTGAAAGCTAAACAACTGTGCAATAAGGTAAAGATGCTTTCCAGTAGCCAAAGAGTAGTAATTGCATTGCCATGTGAGAAGCTGGGTTTACTGCTCCGTCCTAATCCCTATCTGCTAAGACCTAAGGGCAATAACATTTGCAGAGCCTGTGCCAGATTTCCATTCAGGCTTTTCTGATCCAAAAGATGGTAAGCCTGAGAGAAATTAAAGAACTCGAGGATCTCCAGGAAATCCTAAGAAAACAGTATCTATTATTCTGCAGATACTAAAACATCTTCTGATTATACCTACACATTGTGGAAGTGTAATCTTGCCTGTACGTAAAGTGTTTATCTCTAGCCTCACCTACAGGGTACAGATTTTGCACAAATTTGCTAATGCCAGACTGCCATGTTGTGTCTTTACAGGCATTATGTGACTAAGTATGAAAGTCTACCATCTGGCAGACGGTACACTGCAAGGAGAGGGAAAGCAGAACTGTTGGCAGGTAATGAATACCCTCTCCATCAAGAAAACTCCAACATGTGTAGGAAGGTTTTCGGCGCAAAGTCTGATTCCTCCAGCAGCTGGTTTTGAAACGAGCACCTGAGCATTTGCTTTCCTGAATCCATGGCTCCCTCAATGACTTAGGCTTGTACGTACCGTACTAACTTGGAGCTTGATCTTGCACTACTGCAGTTAATGGGAAATTTGCCATTGATTTCAACAGGCCAGGATCAAACTCTCAGTGCGTGCACAGTGTTTACATATTAACCTATATTTAAGATTTTTGTAAAAAAAAAAGCTAAGGCAAATAAAGACCAATTTGGTAGTATTCTATGCACACCTTTCAGGATGGTGCTAGTTCTTTATTTTTACTTTTTTGTGCCAAAAGCAAAAATAATCCCTCGTTTTTCTTTCTTGGGGAATACAGAAGTCCAGGTTTTTGACATGCATTAAGAACAATTATGATGTATAAAGAATGATTATTTATGAATATATTTTAAAGTATTTAGGTCTTTTAGGCCTATGACCAATCCTTATTCAAATATTCAAGTATGATTAACATCTAAATGGGACCATGAATTCCTGCTTACTCAGTATTGCCTGTTTACAGAAAAGCAGGTTTTATTTTACATGATTTCAAAGGATTTTCCCTTTTTTTAAGCAGTCAGAGCTTGATTATTATTATTATTTATCTTTTTGGGTTTTTTTATTAACTGCTATAGTTAAGTACAATTGATCAGAAATGTGGGGTAACATTTCCAGAAGTACTTAAGTTGCCTTAATTCTGTTCCCATTGAAATCAATGGTATAATTTCTGTAGTTATCACCAGAAGCAGAGTTAAGCCAACACCGGTTGCTCTTCAAGGTTGCCTCCAGAAAATTTGTGTCCCTGTGTGTAATCAAGGCAGGTGTATTTAAAAAAATGAGCACCCACTAAGGCAATTCTGAACTATGATGAAGGAAAAGGTCCTGAAAGAAATCCATTTTGAATGCACAGTCTAGCAAAGCCTATGCAGAGCCAGAACATTTTCTTCTAGGTAAGTTAGGCTCATATTTCAACACAAAAAAGTAATCACTATTCATACAAGTCCTCCGATTAAAATTACTTAGACCTTTTTTGTTCATTCAAGCAATGTCTTCACAGGAACTGTGTAAAAAAAAAATGTTTTATATTTACAACAGCATTGCATATTAAGAAAGAAAATACCTCATCCCAGCTCAGCTGATCTCTGACACGATCCATCTGATTTAATTCTTGTAGGGCAAGGTGGGTGAGTGCTGGTCACAAAAAAGTAAAATAAAAAGGCAGGAACAATTGTTTTTCAAAAAGAACAAAACCGGCAGGAAAAACTCATAGATTGTCATGGAAAAAAAATGTATTACAAGAATAAAAAAATATTCCGAATTCTTGTGTGTTGTAAAAAAACAAGAGTGCAGAAATCTGCAAAAATCAAACTATCAATGGGATGAAACAGTCTGCTTGTTTTCTGAAAACGCTGACACACTTCTAGTCAAAGCATAAATAAACCAGGTAAAAACACAGTGTGAAAAAATTGTTTTGTTTTCAGTTTGGGTTCTTGTCCATTACCTTCTGGGTTGGGAAAGCCTCTCGTTGGGGAAGGAATGGTGTTATAGGGGCAAGAGGAACCATTTAATTCACCACCACATAGGAACCAATAACATAAGTTGGACACCCACTTGTCCTGGGCTCCCCCTCTAGTCAGGAGACGGAGGTATCTCCAGAGGGTGATGTAGACCCCAAGCAGGATGCACCATGTGCTGGAGGTGCCTGCCCAAATCCTCTGCCCAGAGGAGAGGTAAGACCCAGGTGCCCCTCTTCAGTGTCAACACTTACCAGAAATGAGTTAAGGCCAAAGCGATACCAACACTGCTGGCAGTGACACCACCCTGTAAAATAACGTGGCCAGCACTGCCAGCAAACCTGCTCCAGATCCTCGGTCTTAAATGCCCTCTTTCACTCCTCTGCTGAAGATTTTATGCAGCACCCCATCCCCAGGCATTCCTCCTCCCTCAAGAAGGGGCAGTTTCTCCTTCCTCCCTTCCAAACCTCCCCTCCTTCTCCCCAAACATAGTCCTTCTTCTTTCAGCAAGGTCTCTGAAAAAGCTGTCTCTTCCCCTCAATATCCATGCTCAAAGTTTGCACCCTCTATTTTGTAGACATTGTTTGATACCTCCACTGTTTTAGGAACTGAAACTGAAGACAAGCTTTTACATTTGTTATTACTGCTTGCTATTTGTGTCATATTAAACAAAAATAAGATCAGAGCTAGGTATTCACACACCTAGAAAGAGACAGTCTCCTCCTGCAGTGATCTGACACCCTAAATATAGAAGGTGGACAAAGGGTGGCACAAAGAAATAGCTATCATCACTATTTCACTTGTAGAGAATTGAGATATGAACAGATGATGACCTCAACTCCACATCCTAATTTGCATCAACAGTCTGCCAGGCTCACCCATGACTTCATAACCCACAACCAGAATAAAAAGGTTCTAGATAATGCAATTTGTACCTGTATGATCTGTGTCTCATATCAGCAATCCCAGTGCAAGGCTTACCCCCTCTCAAATTTATCAAATCTAAGAACCTTCTGAATGTGTGCCTGTAAAACGAGGCCCTTTGGCATATAAAAATAATGTAACATTGGTGCTGACTTTTAAAAAACCGTAACATAAAATATTTTCTTATTACAAAAGATGATCTGGCTATTGCCAAGTATCTGGCCAACGACACCAGGTTTGCTTCTTTTCCACATGAAACGCACAAGTATGTTTAACATAAATGCATCAAGTCTCCCAGAGACACTGACCTGTGTGTTTTGCTTTTTTATTTACTCATCAAGCCCTGGCACAGCTTGTTGAGGAAAATCATGTGCCCATCTGCACTATTGAAAACTGATCTTTCAGAATGGGACAATCAGCCTGTAAGGGCAATTTTGGGGCTTCCACAGTTTTGACAACATCCCTTGAAACTAAATCAAACAGAGTCTCTGGGGACCACGTCGCTCCTTCAGAAGTGACACGTGTCCTCGTGGATACCCCCTGGTATCCGCAGCAATACGCTTGCTTCTGAAGCTATCTGACCCTAACAGCTGGACATAATGGGGATTCCAGAAGGGGTTTAGTCCAACAGCTGGGTAATGGAAGGCCACGGCTTCCTTACGTGGGCTCCATAGCTACGGAAACAACAAAACTGACAATCTTCTAAAAATAAGGTGAAATTAATACATTGCTTAAGCCTGCATTTGAAGTGAAAACACACTTAGGGTTACAACCAAAGCAAACACTAGGAGCGTTTATCAAATCAGTGGGGGTTAATCACAAGTACGCAACATACATCTTTAATAATGGCTATTATGTGTACTTTTAAATAATCAGCAATGGTAGCAATTAAACAATAATTCATACGTGAAGTTCAGAGAAGCAAACAGATGCTCAGCCCTTTCTAATTGGAAGCCACAGAAAGAACAGTGCAATGGTAATCCAGCTAAGTCCAAAAAGCAACCCACTTGCAACAGAGATTTGAAACTTTCCCCTTAAACTTTCAAGAAGTGCTAATTTTTAAAGAGTATTTTTCATATACTCTTCAAAAAATATTAAAATTCCAGGATTCAGTTTCTCACTCCACTCCTAGACATATTCTGGTGCAGAAAGCAGAGGAAAATATAAAGATCAAAGGTTTGGAAGGCAGACCTCCTCATGAGGTTATGAATTAAGCCATCAGTGCCGTACAGGTTAGCAGGTATGGGGACCAAACATCAGTATTTTTGTAACACTTGGCCATAAATAACTGCTGGTAAAATGCATTCTTTCCTACCGATAATGGATACCAACCAGAACTGCATGAGTGTAAATCTGCATGATCTCAGAACAGTCTGCAATCACACTGACAGCATAGAATCATAGAATCATAGAATC